CTTTTCTCTCCCCCTTTTGCCCATTGTTGGGTCCATCTCTCAGGGGTCCTACTTCGGAGAACGAGCTCTGTTGTATGACGAACCAAGAAGTGCCACTATCATAGCGAAAGAACCTACAGCGTGTGCATCGATCTGCAGAAAGCTCCTAAACATAGTGTTGGGTAATCTACAAGTTGTCCTATTTCGCAACATCATGACGGAGGCGTTGCAACAGAGCGAAATATTCAAACAATTCAGTCCAGAGCAGCTAAACGATTTAGCAGACACAGCCATTGTTAGAGATTATCCAGCGAACTATCACATTCTTCACAAGGATAAAGTTAAGTCGGTTAAGTATATCATCGTGTTGGAAGGAAAGGTGGAGTTATTTCTGGATGATGAATCTATAGGGATACTTACAAGAGGAAAATCCTTCGGGGATCAGTACGTCTTGAATCAGAAGCAGAAATTTAGACATACGATAAAATCGCTGGATATTTGCAAAATTGCTCTGATTACAGAATCTTGTTTGGCGGATTGCCTAGGAGACAACAACATTGATGCATCGATAGATCATAATAATAAGAAAAGCATCATCAAGAAGATGTACATTTTTAGATACCTAAGTGAGAAGCAATGCAACTTACTTATCGAAGCGTTTAGGACAACGAGATATGAAGAAGGAGATTACATAATTCAGGAAGGAGAAGTGGGTTCAAGATTTTATATCATAAAAAATGGAGAAGTAGAAGTAACAAAGAATGGAAAGAGACTACGAACATTGGGAAAGAATGACTACTTTGGGGAACGGGCTCTCCTATATGATGAACCCAGAACAGCATCCATCATCAGTAAGGCAACGAATGTTGAATGCTGGTTTGTCGACAAAAGCGTCTTTTTGCAAATCATCCAGGGACCCATGCTAACTCACTTGGAGGAGCGAATCAAGATGCAGGACACCAAGGTCGAGATGGACGAATTGGAGACTGAAAGAATTATAGGTAGAGGTACATTCGGAACCGTTAAGTTAGTGCACCACAAACCGACACAAATTAGATATGCTCTAAAATGTGTCAGCAAAAGAAGTATCATCAATCTAAATCAACAGAACAATATCAAATTGGAGAGAGAAATCACTGCAGAAAATGACCACCCATTTATAATTCGACTTGTGAGGACATTTAAAGATTCCCATTGTTTTTACTTTTTAACGGAACTCGTTACTGGAGGGGAGCTTTATGAAGCCATTCGAAAATTAGGCTTACTCGCCAAACCTCAGGCACAATTTTACTTGGGCTCAATAATTCTAGCCATAGAATATCTACACGAGAGGAATATTGTTTATCGAGATCTTAAGCCAGAAAATATCCTTCTGGATAAACAGGGGTATGTGAAACTGATCGATTTTGGTTGTGCGAAGAAGGTTCAGGGGAGGGCCTACACACTTGTTGGTACTCCTCACTACATGGCACCCGAAGTTATTCTAGGGAAAGGATATGGGTGCACTGTGGACATATGGGCGCTAGGAGTCTGTCTGTATGAATTTATTTGTGGCCCCCTCCCATTTGGGAATGACCAAGAGGATCAGTTGGAAATATTCAGAGACATTCTAACAGGGCAGCTAACCTTCCCCGACTATGTGTCCGATCAGGACAGCATAAATTTGATGAAGCGACTTTTGTGTAGACTGCCTCAGGGACGAATTGGATGCTCCATAAACGGGTTCAAAGATATCAAGGAACATGCCTTTTTTGGCAATTTCAATTGGGATAAGCTGGCCGGGCGTTTGCTAGACCCTCCGCTGGTGCCCAAGGGAGAGACATACGCCGAGGATATCGACATTAAGCAGATCGAGGAGGAGGACGCGCTGATCGCAGGCGAGCCCCTCGACGGGGAGGACGACTGGGATATGGACTTCTGAGCAACCCCGCAGTAGGGGATAAAGCTGCATTGGAGCAGCAGCGGTAGCTGAGGGTTAATATGCCAATTGGAATGTATAACTGCGCGCAGGGGATGTCTTCCACGATGATGCGTCAGAAAAGTGGGAAGACTTATAAACGATTTTGAGGCCCCCTTCTTTTATTTTATTTTTTTTTCTTCTCTCTCTCCCTTTTTCGGACACACCCGCCTGTGCATCCCTATTTGTGCATAAAAGGAGTCCCATATTTCTGCAGCCACTGTGTCTCTCGTTCTTTTAGACTTCTTCCTTTTCCTTTTTTTTTTTTTCTTTTCTTTTTGTTCACATAACGAAGGGTGTGCAACTTGGACCTTCGAACCGCTTCGCCATTTTGTATTCCTTTTTTTTCTGTGCAGCAGCGCTTGCCTGGGTGACGGTTTGGCCAGTTGGCAAAGGAGGATGGTCGTAGGAAAAAACGAAAAAAAAAGGTAGAATGGGGCGGGTGAACAGTGGATGCCGGAAGGGGGGGGGGGGAGTCGCCTGACGGGTTGGCCTATTGGCCGGTTGGCCGCGCCCTCGATTGGTCGCTTCGCTCAGAGATCACTTCGCTTCGTGACCGCTCCACTCTAGAGTAGGCCGCGAAATGGTGCGGGACCTACGCGCGCGTCCACGGCGAGGGGTTCCGCCGAATTGAAGTCAAAGTAGGTGACAAAGTCTTCGGAGGAGCGGGGCACGTTGTCCAGGCAAATGCGCCCAAACAAGCCCAACCGAAACATATCAATAAAGTAGCGGCAGCCACCATTCATGTCGAGGTATTTATAATTCCTACACAGGTTCAACTTTGTCGCTATGACATTGCAGACAAAGCGGATGTCATTGGTTGGTTCCTCCAACCCAATCATCTTAACATAGTTAAAGTGTCTGCTCTTATTTAAAGTGTACAAAATGTAATCTCCTACATACATGTGATCGTATTTGTAATCGAGGGCGTTTCCTATGGCACATAACTTGAGGCTAATTTCTTTGTCTTCCATTTTGGGTAAATAAATCCCCGGCGTGTCGATAAAGTAGAGCAGCGGGCTGTTTGAAACTTTATACGTATCAATCATCTGAGTAGTCCCCGCAATGACGTTCGTCTTGGCTCTCTTCCTATTCACTTCGAAGGCTATTTTGTTGTTCTTGTGTCCATACTTGGCTAAGTTATGCGTCACGTCTTTAAAGGAGTTAATGATGCTAGACTTACCAACGTTGGGTAGTCCCACTAGCAAGGTAAATAATCCGAGGCTCCTAAATTGGGGCTTCATTTCTCTACACACGTCCCTAATTTTGGAGATGCTTTTATTAAATTTGGCTGACGTCAAGAAGCACATATGTTTTGTCTTCTCTTCAATTATGGTTTTTGCACTTAGGGCTACTTTTTTGGGAATTAAATCCGCTTTATTTAGGATAATGATTCTTTTTTTGTCCTTGCTTCTCTTTTCTATGCTCTCCATGATGAAGTCATTCGTGCTGGTAAAAGGCAATCGGGCGTCTCTCACTTCAACGATCAGATCGCAGATGTCTATCTTCTTTTTTATGTTTAGGGATGACTTGTGCATATAGTTTGGGAAGCACGTTATGTTTTCGTCGAATATGAATTCCTCTCTGCATGCGAAATTGGTAAATCTGCTGATCCCCCTTCTTCCGCCGCCCTCCAGGGGGCAGTTACTACTGCAGATACTACTACTACTGCTACCATTACTTCCATCCGGGGGGTTTCCGCCGTTTATCACCCCGTTGGGATGGAGGCCCATTGGTTTGTTCCTCTCTCCATTCTTTGCGCACTCTAAGCTGGTTCTTAGAAACACATCCCCCAGCTTGGGCCCGAGGTCCTTTTTCCACACACTGATGGATGAGCTGCCCCTATCCTTTCCCGCTCCCTTCCCCATCTACGTGAACTATTATTTCGGCGGGCACAACAATAATGTTGGAGTTACCCCTCCGTGGGCAGTTGCCACTTCTCTTACGTTGCCTTTCTTAAAAAAGGACTACTATTCTCTGCCCATGAGGAGATTCCGCCTTCTCCCCCTTTTTTTTTTTTTTTTTTTTTTTTTTTTTATCTTCGCTCTATGCCCCTGTTCAGATTTCTCTTCACAGGCGTGAGTTCCCCCGTTTGTGTAGCCATTTTCATCACAAAGGAGAAGTAGGTAATCCCCTTGCTTAGGTAAACTGGGGGGAACAAGTACTACTCACCATTGCTAAAGGATAGCAAAATCGATCGCCTTACAAAAAAAAACTACACATGAGCAAAATAAATGCGAATAAAGATGACCCACTTAGCAAACACGATGCACAAATTTTAACTCGATGTGGTTTTTGCAAAAGTGTGCTTTTTCGAAGAAGACTAACTTGAAGTGCATACCGTTATGGCGCAAACGGCGGAGGAGGGGTGCGAACTAAACGGCGTACCTCTGCAGCGGGAACAGTTCGGAATTACTCCTGTTGCATCGCCGGCTGCTTTTCCCCCTGCTGCACAAAGATTGGAAACGCCTTCACTCCGGCATTGCACGTAACGCATCTCCATGGCTGTATACACAAATAATATTGTTTTCTATTTTATCAACGCACTGATGATGAAACGGTGTGGCGCCACTCCCGACTGGACTTTCATATCAGCCCCCCCTACACAACATCCTTTTCGACGTTTTCTCCCCTTCAACTGTGCCCATTCGTTCACAAATAGAAGTACACACATAACTCACGTAGTGCATCAGGTGACGAACCTTCTGTACGTCGATTGGATCATTCTGTAGATCGTGGAAGCTACACAGGGGGTCCGCATTGAGGGTAATTTCCTTGGGCATATCGTTCCCACCTGATCTGTCGATTTGGTTAAGCCGATTCGGCGCAGTGTTGAGGTGACCAACTCTTAAGGCGTTCTCACCGCTGCCCCAGAACCGAAAGGCGCGCTCCACTGCGTCGACGTACACGCCCATGTCGCTCACGATGTTACGCCCGTAGAGCAGCGCAAGTTGGAACTGCTTGCGCCGGAGGGGGCGGCGCTCCTCTCCATCGTCATAGCGATCGCCATCAAAGTGGTCTCCATCGTAATAGCCATCCCCATCGCAGTGATCCCCATCGTCATAGCCATCCCCATCAGAGTCCTCTTTGACTCCCCTTCCTTCCAGCCCCCCCTGGGTAGTCACAATCACAAAGTGCAGGTGTGTGTAAATGTGCTGGACGAGGTCGAGCACCGCCGCCGCGCCGCTACACCTAAGCTGGTCGTCCCCCGGTGATCGCTCCTGCCCAGGGGACTGCTCATTCCATTCGGAGTGCCCCCACCCCTGCGACCTGTGGAAGGAGTAAACGAGCATGTCTAGCAAAAATTTGTGGCAAACGTTTAACAGGATGGTGCACGTGCTGATGTCCCCCAAGTCCTGTTCCCTCTTTAGGTAATACCTTTCCTTGAGGTATCTGAAAATCTTCTCCACTTTCTGTTCATGCTGTGACGTAACTGCAAGTGTCGAGCTTCTATCCTCAGCGTTGGCGATACTCGAGCGCTTGAAGCACTTTGCCCTGCTTACATATATTTGGCATTTCTCAGATTTATCCATGCCGCTATGCACAAAGTGATGATAAACCGAACGGTACACCTTGGCCAAATTAAACGTTAAGTATTTTTCCTCCATTAAGTGCGCAAAACAGACTTCTAAAAAGGCCACTTGCTTTGGTGAAATGATTGGACACGTGTTATACAGGAGGGTCACTATGTTGTTCATTTTTATGTAGTACATTTTTTCTGTTAAAGTGAGAATAATTTTTTCGTTCACTTGGTTCATGAGGGGAATATTCCCCCCGTGCGGGGCGCCATCAGGCAGTCCGCCTCCTCCATGAGCATCTTCCCCTTCGAGGATTTTCTCAAACGGGTGAAAAGGGTTGATGTCCCCTTCTTGTTCCCTTCCTGTGTACCCATTTTGGCTGTAACTCGTTTGGGCCCCCCCCTCTTGGGTGGCTACGCGGCCCACCCAGTCGCCTTCATCCTTAGCCTTTCCCTTTCGCCAACACGCTGTCCTCCTTAACTCCTTCTTCAGCAGTCTATTTATGTACACGTACAAGTAGGACACATGCTTCAGGTTCATACTGTGCAAATCCGCTTCAAGTAAAATATGCACGAGGGTGGAAAACTCTTCATCCTGTTCTCCTGCCTGATGTATCTCCCCGTTAGCTAGCTCTCCCTGCTGCTTCTTTCCCAGCCCCTCCCTTTTGACAAAGCTGCCCAACACGCTATTCAGCTCTCCCTGCTCATACAACTCCACGTGCTCGATTATACGGTCAAATAAAAATCGCTGCAAATCCCTGTCGCCTAACTTCACGATGAACTTAAAGAAGGGGGAAGTTACTTTCCCATATTTGGCCACTTCCCCGTTCAGCACATTTTTCAAAATGGTCCTGTCTAAATGGGTCAGGTGTTTCTTCTGCTTGAATAGGACTTGGCACACTTCGCTGGCGCAGAAACTTGGGTGGGGGGCGGGTGTTGTCGCAGCTGTATTGGCTGCTCTCGCGGCTGGCTCATCTGTCCCGTTAACAAACCGCGCTGCTGCGTGTGTCCGTTTTCTCCCCTCCTCTGAATGCTCCGCATGACGGTGGACGCGAACGTTGACCCCGCCTTCCTGTAAGTGGTGCCCCTCCAGCTCCATCTTCAACAAATTGTAAAAATAACCCTGCAGGTAATTTCCAACTCGTAGAAACCTCTTTGACAGAAAATGAAAACTGCTCATGCAACTGAGGAGGTAGAACTTGTTTATCGAAGTGAGTGTCTTCAGGTGGTTCTGAAAAAAATGGCACATCTGTATGATGAGCTCCTTGTCCACCATGTTGACCTTAGACAGAAGGTATGCCCAAGAAAGGAGGGTATCGACTCTGGCACTTCCATTCTCTGGACAATCCCGAGGCATAGCCTTGAGTGTCCTCTTCAGTAGAGCCAGCACTGTGGTGGTCATCTGAGAATTCCTTTTTTCCTCTACCCTCAGGTTGCTTCCAATTAGAAGCTCAAATATAAGCATCGTGTGTTTGAGCCATAAGTATTGCAGGTGATTCAAATTGACAGTCGTGTTCATTCTGCTGCTTGAATTATTATCTGGAGGGTGCTTACTTGGCTGTTCTGGCTGTTCTTTTCCTAAACTTGATGTGTTCGTATGTTTGGTTAACTGGACCATGGGAACGTCTCCATCTTTGTCCACGCTCCTGCCATTCGCACAGTCGCTTGTGTCCTTTACTCTTTGTTGTTTCCCTTCCACCGTTTTTCCTTCATTGGGTAGTTTTTCTCCCTGGCAAATAATGAAGCGACAGTTTTTTTTTCGCCTGTGAAATTCCCGGACATATTCCTTTAACAAATCCACTGCTATTTTATCGTAGCACTTCCATTTCGAAGTGGCCTTGACATTTGAGTCCTCTGGGGAGCGGACTCGATCTGTACAATGAGGCTCCCTCCTCCCTTGGAGACATACTCCCTTGTTTCTGCCATACACTATGCGATTTAAAAGGTCGTTTACCCTAGTATGTATTTCTTTCTCAACGTAGATGTGGGACCACTTCTTGGTACATGCGCGTTCGGTGAGGACTTTTCCGATCGCCATGGCGGCTTTGGCTTTATAATTCTGCGCTTCCAACCTGATGAACGCGACTTAACCTTGCGTGATGAACACTGGGTGGGTAAGGCTACCCTAACGTGTCACGAATATTTTCCGTTTCTCTTTTTTTTTTTTTTTTTCACCACGGTGAAGGGAACCCACCTAAAAATCCGCAACACAGTGTGGAGGAATATGCACTACGACATTTGCTTGCTTTTTTTTTTCCTTTTCTCACCCCTTGAATGTTGTTAAAATAGGTCAACCCTAGGAACATCATTTTTGGGAAATGCCCTTTTACCTCTGTGTCAATTCGACCCCTTTGGGAGGTACTGAAAATGACAACAACGTCGACATCGAACTGCTACTCTATAACACATGGTGTATCTCATAATGACCATCAGCTGTGCACATTTCGGGGGGGGTGGGGGGTTTACTTCCCCACATGGGAGCTTCCTTCCCCAGAGGGTATTTCGAGACTCCGCAGTCGGAGGGCCGATCGAGAAGGTTCATCATCACTGTCCATCTCTTGTTCGAACTGGTGTGTCGTCTCGTAACCATATGGCGAAAGATGTGCCAGAAAAAAAAAGAAAAAAAGAAAAAGCGAGTTGTATTAAAAATTTCAAATGTTAATTTTTAAAATATCAAATTTAATTAAAAAAAATTAAAAAATAAAAAAAAATAAAAAAAAATAAAAAAAATATATTTTTTTATTTTTACATAACTTCATTGCATTCTTTTACCCTTACGTAAAAAGCGCAATTATATAAAGAGGAATAAAATACGGGCATCTTTTATAGACTTTTTCCTTATTTTTACATAATCAAATGATACCTAATCATATATATAGAAACATACATAAGTGTACAAAGATATATACAAATTATATGTACGTACTAAATTGGGAAGATAAAGCAAAAAAGAAAATAAATTGGAAAAATTGGAAAAATGGGGGAAAAAATTACGTAAAATCAAATATTAAAAGGAGGAGAAGAAGCAAAAATATATACATCGTCGCATATAGACGCCGCAACTACACTAGGCAGAAATGAAAAATGAAAAGTGAAAACTTATATGTGACAGCAGGGGGGAAATAAAATGAAAATTTGATAAAATAAATTCTTGAAGGAAATTCATATCATATGAGAAATCTTTAATTAGTACGTGCGAATTCGGAAACGCAACGGGGGGCACAGAAAAAGAGGCAAACAGCTAGTTATCCAGTTAGCAAGTTCTCCAGTTAGCTACTTATCAAGTTAGCTAATTATCCAGTCAGCGCTTGAGGGGGGGAAGGCGCGGTGGATGGGTAAATAAATTGACGCCGCTTTGATGTCAAATGGGGGGGGCCCGCTGTGGGGTTGCATCGTCTTGTTTCGTCCCGGTCCCTTCTTATGGGGATTGCTGAGTTTGGCTGCTGACCGTGTCAACGCCACAGTGCCTCCCACCGCTGCTAATGAATGGGGAGGGGGTGGGGTATGGTTCCTCCTCCTCTTCTTCCTATTTCCACATCTTGTGTACTTCCTAATTTTCAAGCTGGCCGTGGCCTGCGACGGTGGCACTCCAAATGGATTCGCCGCTCACTCCGTGCCGTCGCACCATCGCACCGTCGTACAATCACATATCACCACGCTGACACCTCCTCATACATCGTCATCCGCGTTGTCGTCCTCCTCGTTCAGGATTTCCTCGTTGGACTCTTCCTCGTGATTTTCATTGGACCCCACGACGCTTTGCCCATCGAAGGTCACATAGCCCGCGGGGTTACCTCCGCTGGAGTGCGAGAAGTTACCACCTCCGCTCATACCGGAATAGTCACCACCGACGTCTGCACCAGCAACGCTGCTACTGAAGATGTTGTCTCCGCCGTCATTAAAATGCTTCACCATGTTGTCCAGTTGGTCCTTCGAAAACGTTTTAACTGTTCCATTGCTGCTGTTCATAAAACCGTTTTTTTTTAAATATTCAGAGTAGTCCACTTCGTTATTGGTATTATTCTGCATTTCTTGTTTTTTCTTCAATTTCTTTTCCTGCGCTCTTCTTTTTTTCAAAATCTTAAATGCTTCCCTTCTTCTGTACTCACTTAACTTTTTCATGTACTTATCGTAATACTTGGATTTGAAAGTGCTACTTTCTGCGGAGTTGTCACTTTCGCCCGTAACGCCATTGCTTCGTTTAAGAAAATCGATCAGCTCTTTCTTCTTGTCATACACCGAGGTGAAGACATAATTATCTCCAATCAGTTGAGGAGCATCATGGTAATAATTGGAAGGAATGCCTTCATAGGAATTTTTAATCTGTTTGTAGGCATCGTAGAAAGTATCATCTTCCTGTTCCTCCTCCTTCTTTTCTGCCTTTTTCTGCTTCAAGTAATCGATTGCTTTGGAGTCGTAACTCATATGGTAGGATCCATTTTTTTTCAAAAATGCATTCAGTTGTTCGTTTGCTACACCAGAAGTTTCATTTAATGAGAGGTCCTTGTCTTCATTTGCGTAGGGAGATAGTTCGTAAAACATATCATCTGGTTTGGCTAGTTTTCCTAATTCTTCCTCTGTCAGATCTGCATATGTTAAAATACCTTCCGAGATTAGCTGCTTAATGTCTTTAATGCTGAATTCGTCCATGTTCAGTTCTTCCTCCTTTTCGGAGCTTTTTTCCTTGGCGTCGTTTTCATCTTCCAGATCTTCTTCCTCATCCTCTTCATCGCTATTCGATCTAGTGCTTTGGTTATTCAAGGAGACGTATTTTTTTATAATTTCTTCCATAATCTTCTGGTTGGAAGTGTTGGTATATTCTTTTACTAACTTTTGCAGTGTTTCCATTTTGAATGGAATTTGTCCTGGATTCTTTTTCTTCATCTTCTTCATCGTTTTTTTTTTCTTTCCTCCGATACGTCTGTTCGTCACTTTGTTTTTATTTCCTTCATTTGGGTTTCCTCCATTGGACTTGTCGCCTGTGTTGTTCATTCCATAGTTGGAGGCATTGTCGTCTTTCTTCAAATTGTTCAAGTCTAGAAAGGCATTATTATTCTTATACCCATTGGTGGCTTCCATTTTATTTTCGTCTTCCTTAATTCCAGAGGACGTGATTAATTCTTCCTCATTCGATTCTACCTCGTTGGTGCTTCCGCTGTCATGATCGATTTTATTCGTAACGGTAACGTTCGAATCGGATGTGCCGCTTACATTTGACGGGTCCGAATCTTCCTGTGCGGAGTCTCCATCAGACAGATTTCTATTCATATTTGTCCGACTCGCGTCCAGTGTGTCATTTTTCCCTAGGGAGTCGCCCATGCCGTCATCATTCATTCCATAAAGATCAAACATTCTTTCAGATGATCCATTGCTATCTTCAAATGTGTTTAATTTGTCTGAGAAGTTCCTGTCGTTATTACTCGAGTTCGTTAGGTATACCTTTCTCCTATTGTCACTTTCATCATCTTGGTCATCGGCAAGTGATGGATTCATAAGTCCAGCCCCTCCGCTATTCATGATGTCACCCATGCCGAAATCTTTCATATTCATTTTTCCTTGACTGAGCTGGTTAAACATATCCATCATTTGGTTAAGATCCATATTAAACATATTTCCATCCTTCCCTGCCATCATGTTTTGCATCATAGCTGGGTTCATTGGCAAATTGGCCAATAAGTCCTTAAGAGCATCCTTATTCTGCATGAAGTTTTCATTTTGCATCTGCTCCTTCAGCTGTTCTACATCTAAGCCTACATTTCTTAGGAAATTCTCCAGTTTGTCTTTCACTTGATTCATTTTATCCAGCTGTTCTGGGGTCACTGAGATGTTCAGTCCCTGGTTCCCATCACCAGCTTCTCCGTCAGCACCTGTTGCCTGTGCATTCATCGCGCTGATCATATCTTTAAATAAGTTTTCTTGTCCACTACCAGGACCATGATGTGGATTACCTCCCATGAGAGAATTAAAAAAATTGTGAAACATTTCACTGTTCATAATATTTTCTATGTTTAATCCATCTCCGAATCCTTTAAACATTTCGTTCAGTTGTTTCATTTTTTCCTCTATATTGGGGTTCATTCCTGGAGGGACCGCTCCTCCAGAGGCACCTGCGGATGCCTGTCCCGCCGAAGTGGAGATGGGCGCTGCACCCTTTTTGCCGTTCGCATTGCCATTCGGTATGTCCGTCGCTCCGTTGGCTGCATCCTGAGCGCCTCCCTTGTTGGTCATGCCGTTCGCTCTGTTTGCCTTATCATTTTTGCCTGACTTATGACTGGTGGGCTTAATGTTCAAATTTCGGTTGCTATTCGCGGCAAACACGTGGGAGTAGTGTACGGAAGTCGACAAGAAGAGGAATCCTAAGGTGATAAGTCTCATCTTGGCTGGGATGTGCTCGCGTGTGTGTGTGTATGTTGTGTGTTTGTTCGTGTTGAGGCGCCGTTTGCCAAAGTACGCGATAGAAGGGGGAAGTTTGCTTGTGGGCACTTTCTACCCGGCCGCTCCGGCGTTACACTCGCTGAAGGAATAAGCACATAGAATCACATGCGCAGGTGCCGCTTCCAAGTAGCACGCGGCGACAAATAAGCAGTACACGCTTTACGCTGAACGCTGTACAGTGCGTAGAGGCGCATAAAGGTGTGCTACATAAAAGTATTCTACATGTGGGTACACTACATATATGTAGGGGAGGAGGGGGGAACCAAAATGATGAGCCAAACTCTGTGCTCGCAGAGACACGTCTCCGTTGTGTGTTTTGTTTAAAACGTAAACTTAAATGAACAACGATCTCCTCTTCATAGAACTCAACGTAGCACGTTTATAAATAAAAAAAAACTAATCACATAAAATCTAAAACCAAATAAATTAAAATGAACAGGATTAAAATAAATATGAACAAAGATGCAAAATTAAAAAAAAATAAAATAGCTTTGTACTTAATCGAAATGGTACTACTTAGGGGTGCAAGAAGCAAATTAAAAAAAATTGAAAAAAAAAAAAAAAAAAAGGGAGTCTGGCTAAATCATTGAAGAAGGTAACATAACTTCTCAAATGGGACGCGAGCTCTTCTTCATCTTATCTTATCCAAACGGTGGCTGTACAGAAGCACGCGAATGTCGATGAATAAATATAAATGCACATTATAGAGCAAAGAATCGTGTACGTCATGGGGTAGGCCCTCCTCTCTGTGGCACAGTGCAACATCTACGTATAACAGCCGTGCATATTGCTAAGTATACATATAGCACGCAATTACCTAGTTGTTCACACGGTCAAGCACAAATGTGTTTAATTGCGCGCCTGTTTACCCATTTGCATGTAGGGAGATAAAATATCTACAAATGCGTAAACGCCAGCGCAGGAAACAGGCAAAATAAAATGAAGAAAAAGAAAAAATGAACAAAAAGAAAAAAATAAAGAAAAGATAAAGAAAAAAATTAAGAAAAAGTAAAGAAAGAAATGAAGAAAAAGTCAAAGAAAAAAGTGAAGAAAAAGTCAAACAAAAAAGTGAAGGAAGTCAAACAAAAAAGTGAAGAAGAAATCAATGAAAAAAAACTGAAGAAGAAGTGAAGGAAAGAAATGAAGAAAAAGAAAAGAAAAAAATGAAGGGCTAAAGAAATTAAAAGCTAAGACGAATGAGATGAAAAAAAAAGTAAAAAGGAAAAAAGAAAAAATGCAAAGCGCATGACATTAATGTATACTCAATAATATGGATACTTTAAAAAAAAAAAAAAAAGATAATCCAAAAGAGCGTTGTAATTTTTATAAAGGCGCAATAAAAAATAACGTCAATTCGAGCACGTAAAATTGATAACGAAATAAAGTAGCGGAATATAAAAAAGAATGGATTCACAAAGAAAAGAAAAAAAAAGGACCTCTCACGTGAACAGATCCCACACAACGTGTAAGTAAAAGGTAGTAAGTTTTAAACTTAAGTCAAAGATGTATATTATATGTTTATAATACCCCCATTTCTGGCACCACGACGTTCACCCCGTTCGCTCTTTGCACTATATAAGTGATAAAATGATCACATGCTTTTTTAAAAAACAAAAAAGGGGAAGGAGGAGTGCACAAAATGAGTGTATGTATATATAGTATATATTTATACATGCTATGCATATTGTATATATAATATAATATGCAACAAGTATATATAATATCATACGTGGATGTTTATGCGGGACGCAACGCTCCCGCGGAAAGCACTGGTTGAACGGGATCTGGCCGAACGAGAGCTGCTCAAATGATAGCTGATCGAATGGGAGCTGCCCACGATGTGTTAAGCGCACAGTGTGAAGGATAAAGGAACAAATGGATAGAATAATCACATCCGAACTGTGCATTTGTTCAGCGCAAAACGATGCAGCGCTTTTGAATTAACCCCGTTTGGCGCCCGTAGCAACCTCTTTAATACAAGAAAGAAACAGCGCATCGAGTGGGACAGTCCAGTCGGCTGCAAATCGTATGTTTGCCTTTTTGAGGCGGACGACTTGGGGGTTCACCACGGATGTATTTGGTTAACTCGCCTGAAACATACGGCACCTCGTAGTCAAAGCGATGCAGTTCTACACAGTAACGCCGTTACGGTGATCCTTCTCCGGTTTGATATTTTCCCCTATGTGGCCATCTTGCCTAAGTGGAATACCCACCCCCTACCGTCTTTTCCTCGGCGCACATTCCTTTGCTCTTTCTATATGCCTGCACCTAGTGCATCGTAAAAATTGTGAAAAAAATGTGTTCCCTTTTGTGCGTGCAAGAAAGGGGAATCACATCGCGGGGATGAAAAGCGGTCAGTAACAATAGTGTCCGTTCGCGTATGTTTCCAAAATGAAACGGAATTGAATCAGGAAGCGCCAAAATGAGCGCAACAGGGGCAGGGGTTAAAAGGGAAGAAAAAAAAAGAAAAGAAAGAAAAAAAAGAAAAGAAAGAGATACGTATCATAACGCAGCATAACACACCATTCTGTAATGCGTCGTAACGTCTGGTAACACCACCCCACACAGCGCCAATCGCGCGAGGTGTCGCACCCCTCCCCCCATCTGGCAGGTCAATTCGAACAAAATACCAGTGCCAAGCGAAAACGCTGCCCCAGTCTTTCCGTTCAAAAAGGCCACCAAAAAAATAAATGCGCGTATTTTCAAGTTCGACATTCCAAGTGCAAATTATTTTTTCAAAGCGCGCAAAATTCTGTTGCAGAAAAAATACAACAACATATACAGAACTGTTCTATTATGTGCACTGGGTGGAAGTTTTTTTAATCACACAAATTGTTAAAAAAAAAAAAGAAGAAAAAAAAAAGAAACACTTTGGAATAATCGCAAATTTTTAGCTAAACATGTAACATGTCGAAATGGGTTAAATGGAATAGTAGAACAAGAAAAAAAAAAAGAAAAAAAAATACAAATTTGTATTTTTTTTTTCTCCTATCCATTTGTGTAATTTTATCTTAATCTCGCTAATCGTCCATTTGGAAGGGAGCACAAGTGCGCATACATAGGTGTGCATACATGTATGCGCGTTTTCTTCACTCCTTGTAAAGCGGCGTCCGACGGAGCTGCGTCACGAAAGGGTTTGAACGAGGAGGGGCGCGAAATAGAAATTGTCCGTTTTGTTTATCCCCTTGGTGTGTCTACACCGCAGCTACGAGGGGAAACGAACTCTGCACCCCGCAAAAGCTCTAATTTAAAAATCTCCAATTTGAGAAGACCAAATGGACGTTAACAGCAAGAAAAAAAGCATTTATTGCTACAAGGATCGGAGCCAAAACAACTCCAGTGGCAGAATTTCCCAAGAAAGCATTTCAAGTTGGGGGGACTATTTAAGTAATAATCCAAATAGTAAGGGAGGCAAAATAAATTTCATTAAAAACTACTTTTGGTTTTTTCAAAGTAATAATAATTCGAAAAAAAATTCTCATGATTCCATTTTTTACGAAATTAAAAGTTCGGATGGAAATAAAGCTTGCAGACATCAGTTAGATGCAGACAGCGAACATGTAATGGAAAGCCCTGATGGGAATAGTAACAATTTTGGCAATTCCAATGGGGACTCACTCGTGAACACAAATGAAGAAGGCAAGGGAAGAGTCTGCTCTAGGAAGTCCTTTTATTCGATTTACGATTACACAGACGAGAGTGACTACAACACGTTGAGGGAGGATGAGCGAGATGATTTATTCTACCAGCAGAAGACCTTCGAACCGGTCGCTAATGACAGGTTCCCCAAGAAGGAGTGCGCGCGGAACTACATGCATATATACGACACAGACAGTTCGCCCAACAACGACAGTAATGAGGAGAGCAGCGATGGGAACAGCGATAGGAACAGCGATAACAACAGGAATGGAAGCGGCGAGAGCAGCAGAGATAAAACGAGCGGGGGAAAAATCCACGCCAGAGGGCAGAAAATACTCCCTACACAAAAAGAAGGAGGCCAGGCCAATCATGGACTCCAAAATCGAGATAAGAAAAAAAGAGCAAAAGGGACACCCCAGAAAAAGACTGAAGACCTAGTAAACAGTTACAAAATAAAAAAAGGAAAAACAAAAATACAATACGTCGGAATATCAGCCATCCTGAAAAAATATATATACATCACAAGGAACGAAATAATATTATTTTTTAAGAAAAAATTAAATAAAAAGAAAATCCTTTTGAGGAGCAAAATTAAGAAAAGGTACAATCACTGTACGACATTTTACTATTTACAAAGGAATGGACAAAATGCAGTTGGGAGGAAAAAAAAAAAAATGAACAATTGCCATTTTTTCAGATACTTATACTATTGTATGCTAAAGAAGAAGCTGCAGATTTTTTACAGGACGAGAAAATTGAAAAGGCTAATGAAGTATGTGTCCAGTCAGGGTTTGAGGCGATCTTACGTGAGTCAGTTTGGGAGGGGAAATTCGAACGACGCGATAAAGGGTGCAACAACGGCGGAGCAGAAGCGGGCAAAGAAGGATGCACACGCAGACGTGAACGCAGATGTGAACGCAGGAGAAAACACTTCTAACCTCTTTACGGCAACCCCCTCCCATAGCGACACCAACAGGGCGGAAGGATCTCTTCCTTTTCGCACCTTCCCCAAGAGCCCCCTCCGAGATGGGCCCGATTCGTCTATGCACCGACTCAGCAGCGGAAGCAGCATTCCAAATACGGAAGGGGAGAAATTGGAATACAAAAAGAAAGACACAGCATATGCAGGCGTAGATAGCTACTCCGATGTGTGCATAGACAACCCTCTGGAAGGCAAAACGACAGGGGATTACAAAATGGAAAAGGAAGCAAATCACTACAATGTAATAATCGGAAAAAAACATACCAGTGATCAACTTAAAAATGGAATAAAAAATATGCCAATGTACGAGTGCTATAGGAATGAGGAGGAAGAATTATCCATCTGCGGCAGCTGCAAAGATGTATAC